AGGGGAGGGGAAGGGGGTGTCTTAGCTTGGTTGGCGGCGGGTAGATGTGCAGAAGTAGGTGTTGTGGTACATATTAATTAAGGACAGGGTTTTGGGGAGGAGGGGGTGCTTTGGGCAGAGACATTTTTAAAAAGGTGTGGGAGTGGTTTTACAGGTAAGGGGAAAGTTGGGGGATGGTTTCCCAGGGGTGGGGGTATTAGGCAGGGTTGCCCCCTTTCAATTGTTTTTTTGTTGTTTAACAGCCCCTTTCTTAGGAGGGGGAGCGGTTGGGGTAGATTGGGGAGTGGAAGGGGAGAGCGGGGAATAATGGGGACGTGGATGACACGACAATACTCGAGCAAACGCTGAGGAGTTAGTGCGGAGAGGATGTTATTGTTTAATTTTGGGGGGGGGCTACGGGTTTTAAAGATTTAATGTGGAGAAATAAAAATTACTGGTTAGGAGTTTGGGGGGGAAGGGAGTTGGGGTGGAATTTTCTTGGAATTGGTGGACAGGATAAAAGTGTGGGGGAAATAGTGTTATGGGTAGCGCGAGAGGGTGAGGATGGTTAATTCTGGACTTGTTGTGGATGGTGGTGGGGTGCTTGGATGGGTTGAGACCAATCATTTGGTAATCAGCTTGGATTTTTTTAAATGTTTTGTTATACAGTAAAGTCTGGCCGTGGCAGCAGTATATCCGTTAGCAGGTCCAGATGTTACGAGGCTGTTAAGGATCTTCCCCATTTTTTTTGGGGTTCGGGTGTGAAGGGTTTGGTGTGTGGGTTTACCCTACCGGTCAAAGAGGAGGTTTGGGGGGTTGATTGTTTTACGGTTAAGAGTAAAAGTGTATTTATTAAAGGGGGGTTTGCCGTGTGCGGGGCAAGCGGGGAGGGGCGGAATGACTTATGAAAAGGTGCGAAAGTGGTGGGGGGGTGGAGATGAGGGTGTGTGAAGCGTGTTGGGGGCGTTGCTGCATTACAGGACCCCAATAAAGTTCGGGGGGGTGTTTAGAGCGTGCGTAGGGGAAATAGTCACGAAAGGTTGGGGGATCTACCCTTGTTTTGCGTGGGAGGAATATGGGAGAGGTTTCGGTTGACGCGTGCGCCAAAAGTGCGGAGGTTTTTTTTCCCTTTTCTCCCTGGTTACTGCCGTCGGGTGGCCCTTAAAGGAAAAAGGGGGTTTTTGGTGGAGGGCGCGTGCGGGTTTTGCGGGGTGAGAAGGCTTTCTGTGGTATTTTTTGTATTTTTGGGGAGTATCGGGAATGGTGGGTAAGGTTTGAGGACAGTGGGAGGGGCCGGGATATCAGTTTGAGGGGGTTTGTTTGGGGGTGGGGGGGATAGAGGCGCCTGTGCAACGTGGGAATATGTTATATTGCGGATTTTTTTTTTTGTATTGGGCGTGAGGGGGGGTGGGATTGGGGGTGGCAAAAGGGTGTTGGGGGCGACATTTATAGAACGTTGTGTTGTAATGGGGAATAAAAGGGAAATGGCTGGGACCAGGCTTTTTTAGCAGGGTTTCGTAGTTGAGTGTGAGAGCAGGTTAGCGTTTTGAAAGGGGGGGGTTTAAGTTTAGGGGATGGAACGGGCTCGTTTCCCAGGTTGGGTTGCACAAAGGGGTGTGTTGCTTGTGTATCTGTGTAATGTGGTTGTGGTTTAAAAGTGGTTGTTGGGGGAGGATGTGGTGGTGCGTTTTTATAAAGGTTATGCGTTTATGTCAGAGTCTACTGCCCTTTTTTTTTTGTTGAGGTAAAGATTTACCTTTGCTTGCCCTGGCAAAAAGGGGTTTTATGTGTTTGTCTGAGCATTTTTTTGTATTTATATGGTGTGTATAGCCGTGGATGGTGCGGAATGCTTAGGCTTTTTTGTTTTGTGGTGACTCGTAAGCTTGTGGTAAGGCGAGTATGGTGACTGTAGGGAATTATGTATGGGGGTTTGTTCAGTAAGAGTATGTACTTTGTTTTTCTAGATTGTGTGTAGGTCCCCTTTTATTTATTGATTTTGTGAGGTTTTGGTAACCCATTTTTTACGTAATATTTTCTTATTGATTGTGCATTGACATTTTGAACAGTAATTTTTTTTATTGGTATACTGTGGGAATAGGCTTTAATTTGTGTTTTTTTTTTTTTCACATATTATTGAACCGTTACAGGGGTCACCCACATGTTTTGTCCTTTTTGTTGTTTTTGTGTAAATGGTTTAAGATTTTCCCCTTTCTTAATTTTTTGTTTGTATAAGCGAATTTTTTAGTGTATTTGGTAACCTCTTTGTGTTGTTAATATTTTGTTTGTTAATTTTGCTATTGTACGCCTGAGGGTTGTGATACTAATGTATTTTTATTAAATGTATATCACCCCTTTTTTAAGGGGTTTTTTGTTAAGCTATGTTTTTGTTTTTAAATAAAATATAAAAAAAAATTCTGTTTACCCCGAAAAAGGGTATGGAAGTGCCTTTCGTTTGTCGGATAAGTTTCTGTGCACTTTCATACATTTCCCCTTTGGGAACAACCCAAAATAGTTAGTAAAAAAAACGGTCACAATACCCTGTTTGGAAAAAAAACACAAAAAACTCAACTGGAGGGGGAGCTTTCGGGCGACGTTTCGGTTGAAAAACGCTTTTCGGTTCGAAACGTCATCGTTTCGGACCTTTTTCCCCTCCCCGTCTGTGGCCTTTATATATGCTCCTTCTCATCTTTTGGGAGTACCCGGGAACCCACAAATGAAAAATCCTTTTTTGTTTAATGTGACTTTGTAATGGTCCAAGTCGGACGGGAAACGTGTCGTAAACTCCTCTCTCCTTGTGCGGGAAATTCCAAGAGTCAAAATCCCCCGGAGAATAAAAGGGTTTGGAGGGGGTTAATCATGTATATTATGGGGAGGGGAAAAAGAAGAATAATCTCGGAAAAAGACCCCTGTCAGCTCTTGCTTCTCCCCTCAGTGAGGGTGTTCTTTTGGATGCTGAACCATCGTGTGCTTTAGAAAATTAATTAAGGGGTATACACCAATACCGATGAAGAAAAGGTTTTAAAGCCGTGCACATAGAATAAAAAAAATAAGTATTAAAGTTTATTGGTACAAAAGCGATTGGATGAGGGTGGTTTTCCTTAAGACGCAGTGTTTGCGTAAGGCAGTTGGTTCCCCCCACTCTTGTTTATTTAACTTTATTGCGCATTTGCTTAAATTCTACCCCCTCCCCCTTGTTCCTGGACACTTTAAAACGGTGGTGAAGTTTGAGTAGTTTATAGTCACTAAAATGGCCACTTTCTCCCGCCTCTCTCGCTTTTTTCTCGTTTCTCTCGCTTTCTCTCGCTTTCTCTCGTTTTCTGCTTTCTCTCGCTTTTTTCTCTCTCTCTCTCTCCCCAAGTTTTTGTGTTTTAAATCTAAGGGATTTTTGTTTTGGGTTTTATTGGGGGGTTTGTCTTGCTGGAAAAAGTGTAACTAAGATTACAGCAACATAAATAAGCGTCAGAATAGACAAGAGCCTAAGCTTGTTTTTTATAGATAATCTTTAACCCCACCACAATGATATTTTAAAAAAAAGGCGTTGTAACAAGCAAATCAAAGGATAATGAAACGAATCATGCTTTAAAAAGAATATTATGTTGCGTTTAAATATAAATTTGGGTTTTTTGAATTAGATTAATTTTTGCTTAAAAATTTTGAGGATTATAAGCTATGTTCCAAATTTTCCCTTTTCCTGAATGCACACTTTTTTTGAAAAGTGACCCAAAAAAACAAAAATAGAACAATTGAAAAAGCAAAAGTAAGTGGCTCATGATACTGACAAAGGGGGGAAAAAAAAAAGGGTTTTGGCCTAGTGGCTTCTGTAAAAAATGTCCTAACTTACCAAGTGTTTTTTTTAAAATGAAAAGTATCTGCCCGTTCGTGACAAAATCGCAGACTGTTCAGGGCGAACATTTTTTATTATATATTTTTATTAATTATTATTAATATATATATTTTTAATATATATATATATAACACTTCGGGGGATTCCCACCCAAGCGGGTGGCCCGAAAAAGAAAAACTTTCTCATTACTCCTCACTGTCTTGCCAGAGGGGGTGCTAACTATACAATATTTTTAATATTATTTTTTTATATATAAATATATATTATATATATATTATAATATTTTTTAATTATTATAATATAATTATTTTTCCGGAATCATACCCAGAGCAGATTAAAATGTCTGGAAGAGAAACTTTTTGGGTTGAATTAGCAAAATTTCCAACCCCTGGGTATCTTTACAATTAATTATATTTATTCAAGACAAAGCAAGGGAAATATTTCCCCTAAAATTTCAACCTCGAAAAAAATAGTCGTACGTATGTTTGGGTTTAAGAGCATTAAAAAAACAAGCGCCACGATTTCCTCTCCCCCTTTGATGATTTAAGCAATTTCCCGGGTAGAGGGTTTTTTTATACTAGGAAAAAATTCTAAAATAACTCCCTTTCACATTTCACTCAAAAAGTTTTTGGATAATTAAATTAGTCCCAATGGGCGAACCCCGTGAAGCATGCTCAGTGGCCTGGGGGGTTTTGAGGGAGGTCACGTTGGTTGGCAAAATTTTTTGCTCCCACTGTAACCCTTCAACAGTGTTTTGGGTGACCTTTAGTGAGTCACCAGACCCGTGTAAGGGGGTTTAAGCAGGGGGATAAGTAGATAAAATTGTCCAACGTTGTGATACCAATCTGGTTGTCTCGCCAAGTGAACAGCACTTAATTCTTGTTTGAAGTGGAGTTACCATTAGTTCGTTTTCGTATGCCTTTAGATATTCCCAAAAAGAAAGTTTTCCATAGTAACAAAATGGGTAAAAGATTACGGGTTTTAAAGGAAAGAAAGTAATGTGTTATTTTTGGTGAGGCCCAAAAGATTGAAAGTCAGTTGGGTAATCTGGTAATGCATTCGAGTGAATAAAGTTCCATTAAAACGCTACTTTTCGGGTATTTTTTTAAAGCACTAATATTTGATTAAAGCAGTAATACAAAGCCAATAGTGACTTAAAGTAACGTCACAGACTTACACAGTGTCAGGAGTTGCGAGAATATACACTTCAGGGAGTGGAAGTCCATTGAAAGACGAGAAGTAACAGAGACTGTAGGCGCCCCGCCTGGACCACACCAGCCAGTCACCCAGACTGAGGTCAGGTAGGAGGACGTCCTTCATCACACAGTCAGTACTAGTGCATGACCAACCCCATAATGTGCTCATTACTAGAGGTTGTCCTGGCCTCTCCTGCACACACAAAAAATATCATTACTAGATTGGGAAAAAATGATAACCAAGTTAATATTAGAAATGTTTATAAATTTTTTTTGGCATAATTACAAATTGTGAATTCGCACGCATAAAAATGTGATTTTGGAGTAAATAAATCACCAGTAAATATCAAGATTCGGGGAAAGTTTGACTTCTTGCGTTATCAGCCAGTAATACTAGGTACGTCATCACTGCGTTTAAAAGAGCATTGTAAAGATACTCCAGAAAAACGATGAAAACATTGTTGGTTTAGCGCTTAAGTTGTCATTTTTATGAAAACATTACCACAAGATTTACACTGAAATGTTTAGTAAGAAAAGAAAATTACACACCCACTCTGCTCTCCAAGAAGTTATTAAATATACGAAAAGTGAATACGACTGCGAGAAGTGAGCAAATGTCAAAGCTAAAGTCAGAAAAAGAAAATTTTGGCCAAGGTTGTACCACACTGTCCAGTAAGACGTTAAAATGAACTGACAACATTCACGACTGATACTATAATAACTTTTAGAACGAATATAAAGAAAATAAATAGATAATGACTAACGTAAAAAACTCTATGTACATTTTAAAATCGGTAAATAATATTTAAAACATGCGTAGCGAAGTTTTCAATCACCAGACTGAGAAATATGTGGCGACTTGGCTATGACCCTTCCAGCTGTAATCTTGAAAGTTAAGACACATGTGCAACATCTGGGTATCTTTATTGTAGACGTGTCGCCATCCAGTGGCTTTATCAATACAGATTCTAGGACATAATTTGAAGACAGTAGAACGACGGTGCTCTTCACACCAACTCCAAGTCTGAGGAACTGATTACCTCATCTTTTGTATATAATTCTACTGTCTTCAAATTATGTCCTAGAATTTGCACTGATAAAACCACTGGATGCTGAAACGTCTACAATAAAGATACCCAGATGTTGCACATGTGTCTTAACTTTCATCTTGTAGGTATTGTATACCATTCTTGCACAGCTTTAATCTTGTTTACAAAGAATTACGACATTAATAATACACAAATGACCCGCACATAGGAGAAGAGCTTGCGACGACGTTTCGGTCCGACTTGGACCATTTACAAAGTCACACCAACAGAAAAGAGTGAAGTAAATAGTATGTATAGGCGAGCGGGAGGAAGAACGAAAACAAGAGAGGGAGAAGTAGGTAGTGGAAGTAGTAGTAGTGGTAGTAGATGGTAGGGAGAGTAGTTTAATGGCAAAAGAGAGAAAGGGGAATGATGGGAGGCGATAGTAAAGGTAGTAGCAAAAGTAGTGGAAAAGAGAGGAAGACGTAGATTCTGTAAGAGGATGGGGAAGCTGACTTACAGAACACACTAGGTAGAAGAAATGAAAACAGAAAGAAGAAGGAAAAAATTGGAAAGGAGAAGAGGTTGGGAAAGGAGAAGAAAGGATTAGGTTAAATCAAGAGTGTTCTGAAGTTTGGAGAATTTGACAATGTAATGGGAAAGGAAGGCATCTACAAAGACAAAGTGAGGACTAATATTCATACAAGGAAAGTTGTGTATAAGGGACACTTCAAAAAGACGGCGACTGTGAAAGCTAGAAGTAGAATAACTGATCTCTAACATGAGAAAAAAGAGTATTGTTGGTGTCGGGAAACCTAACATTTCACTCTTTTCTTTTACTACCTACCTACCCCTACTTCCTCTTCTCCCTCTCTTGTTCCCATCCTTTTCGTTAGTGTGACTTTGTAAATTGTCCAAGTCGGACCAAAACGTCGTCGTAAGCTCCTCTCTCCTATGTGCGGGTTATTTGTTCCAGTCACGGTGTTGTGCCTCTTTGTTCTTTACAACATTTTAAATTTTGCCAGATCACTCCGGGATGTAGCAGCCAGCTGAGAGAATTACGTTGCTTGGATTAAACTCTGCATGTCATCGTTACCTATAAGGAAAGATTGTTTACCAGCGAGCGTCGTGCAACACTGCATTAGCCACCTGAGTTTAATCATTAGATTTCTTTGTTTTCTTTTGCAGTTATATCTATAAGCTATTTTATTTTTCCCAGGATAATTTTCAGGACTAATAATAAGTCCCTTGAATTTTTTTTTTGATATTAGAATTAGTTAAAGATTAGCCGGTATTCTCCCGGCCCGGGCCTTGTCCAAGTGGTGGCCCGGCCTTGGCTCCCTCTTTAGGGAGTATCTGAGACCTAAGTCTCCCATGGGAGGAGGCACAAGTACCTCCTCATCTTTGGGACCAACTGTCCCCAGGCCTAGCCACAACCTAGGCCTCTCTGGTCTGCCATCCCCGCCCCAAGGGGGCAAATGGGAATGACAGTCTTATGAGCTAAAGGCTCGGGCTCAGGCACCTATCCTACCCTAGAAGGGTTAGGCATGGTGTAGATGTGATATTAGAATTACGAACAATACCAACAAATATAAAAAAAAGTTCCTTTAAAAAATGTACGATACAACTATGTGAGTATAAAACTATGTTATGAAAATACATTAGTTCAGCTAGTGAAATTAACTTTGAGATATTGTCTTTCGTGAAAGAAAACTAAGAATAAGTTATATTCATTGAGAAAGTTCCTTATATATTATCCTTAGCAGAGGGGCTATCAGACACTTAAGACGGCTGACGTGAGGGTATAACAAGACGGGTTAAACAAGGTATTTAACTGCATTTTATGATAAATGGATAAAAACGACTCGTATAAACAGAAAGACCTTCCACAGGGCCTGGGGGTAGTTGTTTACCAACTCAACGCAGTCGTGACCTCACAATCTAAGATGTGTATATATATTTTCTGGAGTATATCTCTTACACGTATGCTCCGAGAACAGCATGAAGTACAGTATTCAAAGAGTATATATTTCAGGAGAGGTATATTAGAATTTAATTTTATCGCAATATTTGGTATCAAATTATCCTTAACTGGTGGCGCACAACATATATGCAATCTTTATGACCCTCCTGTAGATGACAGCCATTATAATTGCTATACTACTACTACTACTATAATCACCGCCACTATTTACTACTATGGCTGTTGTTTTGCTGCTGTTGATACTACTAATACAGCCCACGCAACATAAGTCATACCTGGCGATTTAAGTGACTGTAGTTAAATTCTCATATTTTCAGCCTTAATACTGATAAATTATGTGAACTATAGACGATATGAGTCAAAACTTCTTACCCTGTAACTCCTTCCTCCTTCCGTAAGAACTCCAACTTTTCCTTGCCATGGATCTCTTATTCCTTTTAACTCAGGTATTCTCATTCCTTCATTCCTTGAACTCTCTCATACTCCTTGTACTGGAACTCTCCCTTTTCATGAAATTCTATGCTCCCACTTTTCCTGAGACTCTCCTTTTTTCCTTCCACTGAAGCTCTCCTGCCTCCTTTCCCTGGACGTTTCCTTCCCTTTCCCCAAACACTCCATTACTCCTTTCCAATGAATCTTTCAAACTCTTCAACTAGAATTCCAACTCTCTTCTCCAGGATCTTTCTTTTCCTTGAACTCTTCTAAAGCATTTCCCAAGAACTCCTTTTTCCCTAAATATTATTCTCCTCCTTCCCCAACCCACAACTGTGTTAGTCCAGTGATGCTAGGTGAATTCGGCAGGGATCATCCATACCCCCTTGAGATTGAATATTTTTTACTCTACAACATTTTGTATATCTACTTTTATGCTCTTTTATTATTCATGCCCAACCAGTCCCAACTTTTCCATATAAAGCAATGAATTAAATGAAAAAGAAACAGCTATTGCTAGTGATGAAATGTTAAATGGGTATTTTCATAATTATTAATTTAAAAATATAAATTGTATAGGTGTGAAAGTGTCTCATTCCTTACAACTAGAGGCGTTGGTGTTATGGGCTCTACATTTCTCAGGACTGAAGAAAAAGATGTGAAGACGCCATCGTTGATGTAGTACATGTTAGGGATGGCTTGCTCATGATTCTTCACCTTATTTTCTTTCTTTAAGGAGGAGGAGTTGTGCCACTCTTCCACATGATTCATCTCCGAGGAGGTGGAGTGTTCCTGCTCATCCTTCCGTCTCTTGCCAATGATACCCGTGACAAGAGTGGACGAGGAGGCCACGATATAACGACCCGGCTCTCCAATGATCTAGACACAAAGATACAAATTGTAGAACAAACATTAATTTGGACAACGTGTCTCTCTGTGTAGAGCTTTGCCAAGTCGTGACTTGGAAAAGCTTTACAAAGAGCGTAACGCTGGCCCAATGAAAGCTTGTTCTACAACTTTTATTTTTGTCTTGTTACTTTCATATATCATTCACCAACGACTTGTTAGATGAACGTGGTTAGTATAATACAGTACATTAAAAGGAAATTTACTTAGTCACTTTACTGGAAAAGTATCTGGCTGTTTGTCCATAACTCAAAATCAATAAGTCTGAATAAAAATTTGCTAATTTTATATAAAAATACCCCCCCCAAAAGATTTAAGAATTTAATACCTGCTGAATATCAAAATTCAATACTTTGAAACTTTCTTATTTCATCATATTTGTGAAACGAAGAAAGTGTAAAATATCTAATCTAATTTTCAAGAACTTTACAACTTAAAATGGAAGAGAATTTAAGCTGGAGGACTGACATGGTGTCAGTTCCTTCACCTTGACTCGTCCGTCATCAGGGAAGAAGTGGTCAAGTGCGATGTTTATATAATGTGACAGTTCCTTCATCAACCTCTCATCATCACCAGGAAAACCTCCACCTATGTCCAACAGGTAAGGTTTAAAACCTTCCTCCTCAGCTTCGTCAAACACCTGCGGGAGGCGCACTTGTTAAGTGTGGTAGCGGAGGGAAGAAAAATTAAAGCCAGACTGCTTTATTTTTGTTTTATAGCCAGCCAATGTTAATATTTTATTATAGAATAAAATAATGTTTTATTGCTGCCCATGTAAAGTATTTCCTTATTATATGTTTCAAAATTGTTTGCCTCAGGATTACAATTTCTAAAAAGAATTTCTTAATATATTTAAAATATATGTTCTTTACAAGGCATGGTTTTGAAAGTGACTCAGCAATCTGACTTTTTATGAAATGTATTTTAGAATGATTTAAAAAGTGTTTATAAGCAATTTCATTAAAATTTTGTCTCTGACAGGTATTTCTATGTCAAATGAATTTACATTTTATTTTTATCCCCGGCCCCGTTTTTGAAATTAGACAAAAATGCATTACAAGACAAACATGAAATGAAAAAACTCTGGCCTTACTGGCTAATGCACTTTTGCTTAAAGATCATGTTTACCTGGAGTTTACCTGGAGAGAGTTCCGGGGGTCAACGCCCCCGCGGCCCGGTCTGTGACCAGGCCTCCTGGTGGATCAAGAGCCTGATCAACCAGGCTGTTGCTGCTGGCTGCACGCAAACCAACGTACGAGCCACAGCCCGGCTGGTCAGGAACCGACTTTAGGTGCTTGTCCATTGCCAGCTTGAAGACTGCCAGGGGTCTGTTGGTAATCCCCCTTATGTATGCTGGGAGGCAGTTGAACAGTCTCGGGCCCCTGACACTTATTGTATGGTTTCTTAACGTGCTAGTGACACCCCTGCTTTTCATTGGGGGGATGTTGCATCGTCTGCCAAGTCTTTTGCTTTCGTAGTGAGTGATTTTCGTGTGCAAGTTCGGTACTAGTCCCTCTAGGATTTTCAAGGTGTATATAATCATGTATCTCTCCCGCCTGCGTTCCAGGGAATACAGGTTTAGGAACCTCAAGCGCTCCCAGTAATTGAGGTGTGGATAGAGACTAGGAAAAGGAAGGGCTCTGTTGAATATAAAAAATTCTTTGTCCTATAAAGATCATTTAACGAACTGGTCAAGCGTGTCCATAATATTCTCAGGCTAAAATTATATTATAAAGAGTACTTTCCATGAATTTAACGATAAATTTTTGGACCTATTTGAGTAACTACTCACGTTGGATTTTAAGGATCATTGTCAATTGAGTGATTCATTATGGGTTAAATATTAAACTGCTGTACACATGACCAAACCATGACTGGAGGAACCATGGCATCACTTGCTCAGATTGTGACAGTAAGAGCCGTCATGAAAGAACTTAATAAAAAATTCGTAAAAAACTTTGCAGTTTTCCTATAAAATTCACTGACCTATAGGTCAGTAAAATGCTAAAAGTACACTTATGTAAGGAAAAATAAATGATTTGTGGTAATATTCTAACTGTTGTGATGCTCGGTTCAACGAGCGTAACCCAAGCATAATAAAAAATTCCTTATTCAGTACTTGCCTTCCGTGCTGCAGCAATAGCGTGGTAGAACACAGGTGGATCATTACACTCAGAGCCCACGTGGAATGCAACACCCACTACGCTGAGAGTCAAGGCACGGGCAGCAACCAGCAGCGTCCGGGCTTTCTCAGGCAACACCCCAAACTTCTCGCCGAAAGATATTTGGGAGATGGCGGCGTCGTAGCGTATGCGAAGCACCAACCTGAAGAGATGAGGTTGGAGAATTTGTTCATTGCTGAATGTTATGCCTTCGACGTAATATTTTGCTCTTAATCAAGGAAAAGTCGAAGATTTGATCACGAGGATTGTGATCACAGGAACCATAATATGAGTAGCAGAATCATTAGACTGTGTATTGAGTGCATATACCTTTACTCCTACTTAATTTTAATTTTAAAGGTACCCAGTGTTAATGGGTACTCTCCTTGCAGGGCAGCTGAGACTTGCTAATTGGTGTGTTAGCAGGACACTAATTCATGTTTTGAGGGGTTTACGGGAAAACACAGATTCTCTCCTTGCTCTTAGTTAACTCTGATGTGGTCTAGTAGGAACTGTGTGTTGCCCGACAGTCTCATCCAAGAGCAGGATGTTGAACTCACTGGTTAGGTCCTCAGTGGCCTTTTTGATGAATAAACAGACTATAATAATAATAATAATAATAATAATAATAATAATAATAATAATAATAATAATAATAATAATAACAATAAATAATAATAATAATAATTTTATTTTTACAAGTACGTGTACAAGGCATACAGGCTTAGCTGACATCAGTGACATGCTATAAGAAAGCCGCTTGTTATGCTGAACATTTAGGGCAAATTAGGTCGGTTTTGTCTAAGGATGCGACCCACACCAGTCGACTAGCACCCAAGTACCCATTTTATACTGATGGGTGAACATGGACAACAGGTGTCTTAAGGAAGCAAGTCCTAATGTTTTCCATCCTTACCGGGGATTCAATCTCCGGACCTCAGTGTGTGTGAGCTGAGTGCGCTAGCGATCGAGCTACGGGACACAAGAACAGGGTCTAATGTGAACTGAAGTTTATGGTATGTGTGGTTTGTGATGTATTCATATGCTGCATGAGCTGCTGATTTGGTCTCGGCCATGACTGCTGCGTTATGAATATTCTCAAGGTAGTTCTGACAGCAAGAAGCTGAAAGAAGTTGCCAATTTATATCCGTTAATTTATCTATATATATTCACTCAGTGGCTACTTGATTAGATGCACACTTTTGTTACTGGGTAGGGCTACCCATTGTCCACAAAAAAGCCTGATTTCTACGTGACAAAGATTCAATAGGGTGCTGGAAGCATTCCTTTGAGATTCTAGTGCAAAATGACATGATAGCATTACGCAGTTGCTGTTGCACATTCATGCTGCAAATCTGCTGTTCAACCACATCCCGAAAGTGCTCTATTGTACCGAGTTCTGTTGACTGTGGAGGCCATTGGAGTACAGTTAGCTCACTGTCATGTTCGTGGAAGCAGCTTGAGATGACATGTGCTTTGTGACATGGTGCGTTACCCTGCTGGAAGTAGACATTCGAAGATGGGTAGACTGTGGTCATAAAGAGATGCACATGGTTAGAAACAATACTCAGGTAAGCTCTGGTATTTAAACGATACTCAGTTGATATTAGGGAGCCTAAACATTCCCCATACCATTACACCACCAGTCTGAGCCGTTGATCCACAAGGCAACATGGATCCAAGGATTCACGTTACTTACGCCAGATTCTAACCCTACCAACTGCAGGTCCCAGTGGAAGTCAAGATTTATTAGACCAGTCAACTGTCCAGTTCAGGTGAACCTGTGCCCAGTGCAGCCTCACTAATCTGTTCTTAGCTGAAAATAGTGGAACCTGGTGTGGTCATGTGCTCCATTAACCCATTCACTTCCGGGTTGGGGTTGTTGTGCATTCAGAGAAGCTCCTCTGCATACTACTGTTGTAACACATGACGTTTTCGCCTACAGAACTGTCGCTCACTGGGTGTTTTGTATTTTTCACACCATTCTCTCCACACTCTAAAGATTTGATTCGCATGAAAACCCCAGGAGATAAGCAGTGTCTGAGAAACTCAAACCACCCCGTCTGGCACCAAAAATCATTATGTGGTAAAGTCACTTAGATCACATTTCTTCTCCATTCTGATGTTTGGTTTGAATAACTGAACCTCTTGACCATGTCTGCATGCTTATAGGTATTGAGGTGCTGCCACGTGATTGGTTGATTAGATATTTGCATTAACCAGTGGGTGTACTGGTGTACCCAGTTAAATAGCCACTGATAATATATGTATAATGTATAGGTAGTAGGTTGGTAGACAGCAACCGCCCAGGGAGGTACTACCGTCCTGCCAAGTGAGTGTGAAACAGAAGCCTGTATTTGTTTTACATAATGGTAGGATTGCTGGTGTCTTTTGTCTCATAAACACACAAGATTTCAGGTATGTGTTGCTACTTATACTTACATTTAGGTCCCACTACACTTACATGTACAAACATATAAAGACACATCCCTCTGGATTTTCTATTTTCTTAATATTTCTTGTTCTTGTTTATTTCCTCTTATCTCCATGAGGAAGCGAAACAGAATTCTTCCTCCGTAAGCCATGTGTGTCGTAAGAGGCGACTAAAATGCCGGGAGCAACGGGCTAGTAACCCATTTTCCTGTATATATTACTAAATTCAAAAGGGAAGGGTTTCGTTTTTCCTTTTAGGCCTCCCTGCCTCGGTGGGATACGGCCGGTTTGTTGAAAGAAGAATATATATAAGCAAAATAACCACGGGGAGAGTAAAATGATAGGCCTAGGCCTTTCGTGTTGAACTCAACACAGCATCAGGGGCATGCAAAGTTGTAGAAAAGAGGAGGATGTCCAAGCAAATACGATTCCAAAGGATGTCTTCACTGGAGTCGTTTGAGATTGCATTTGCTTGGACATCCTCTTCTTTTCTGCAACTTTGCAAGCTCCTCTTGTGTTGATAGCAGCACGAAAGACCTAGAGCTATCATTCTACTCCCCCCGTGGTTGTTTTGCATCCTGTATCGCTTAGTTTGCGATATTTGCATAATATATATATATATAAACACTGATCTCTGGCTGAAGGAGACTCGAACCTACGAACCTTAGGACAAGGTACGCAGTGCTTTACCAATCTACCCACACTGGACAATACCTTGGCGTGTAGCATGAGCTACACGTTTGATCCAAGGCAGCCAGCTTTCAGAGAGAAGGCTTACAGCTTTTCATCTCATCCCCTGCATGCATCAGCCTTACTAGAGATTTGAACAATGCAAGGAATTCGCGAGAGCATGCGAAATATACACAAACACTGATCTCTGGCTGAAGGAGACTCGAACCTACGAACTTTAGGACAAGGTACGCAGTGCTTTACCAATCTACCTACCTTGTCCTAAGGTTCGTAGGTTCGAGTCTCCTTCAGCCAGAGATCAGTGTTTGTGTATATTTCGCATGCTCTCGCGAATTCCTTGCATATATATATATATATATATATATATATATATATATATATATATTATATATTATATATATATATATATATATATATATATATATATATATATATATATATATATATATATATGAGATGAAACACAGAGGCGTCAACTGTTATTATTAAAGAAAATATCTCCAGGTGATATGAATTGGGAAATATTCAGCAGTAGTTTTCTTACCTTGTCACTGAGCTGGGAAAATATAATAAAACTTTAATGAAAATCTAATATATATTGGAACACACTGCCAGTTTCCCACCAAAATTAAATAACTCAAAGAAGAAAATATTTGTGTTCACTTATTCAATAGATGTCTTCCGGGAACTGCACAGACGTCACTTACTGCTAAAGACATCATCATCCCCTGCCACAGACATCACCATTTATTGCGACCTCAGAGAAAGAACGCAGTAAAATTTTCGTATACTATATTCTTTTCATTAATTTTATATTCCTGATGTTTTCGTTAATAGCTAAAATTAAAATTTTATGCTTTATATTTTTTGTCTTTTATAATTAGCTTTTGTATGTAGACTGGATGTAGAAACCCATCTCTTTTTCTACTCAGTATTGAAGAGTTATAACCGGCTGTCAGCACTTGCTAACTGCCTGCTTGTTAAGCAGTTTGTGCAAGATGTGCTGGTTCCAGTAACTTGACGTCGGATCTGCAGGCCTGCTTCTCGCTTCTCTCTCTCTCCCTCTCTCTCTCTGATTGCCTAGATGGTCTAGAAGCTTATTTAGGGACTTGTTGTCAATCACATTCTAAATCGAGTCCATCTGAGCACATACCGAGCACTTACACAAACATACTCACACAAACACACACACTTACACAATATTGCTCTTGTTTTCATGATTTCATCTCATTATATCTAGGCAGTAGAGGGTACATATTAAAAAATGAACATTATCTTAAAAGATGTGCCCAAGGCGCCATATAATTATATGTAGGAACTTATCTCCTTCATTATTCAATTTACATTAACTGTAAAGATTGGCGTCAAGACACCACTGTTATTATAGATCTCTACTTTTATGTAGTTGGTTTGTATTCATCCAGTTGTTATCCCAAAGCGCTACTGAGAAGCAACATATTTTAAGGGATAACTGGACTAGAAAATACTCTGACAAATTGTTAAAAAATGCTGTTAGAAAACCAGGCTAGATACTAGATGGGAATCAATGAGTTGACCTTTTAGTATTCTCTGGAGATATCTTTACTTAACAGATATTGTATTTTGTAACAACATCCACTGCCACAGACATCACCATCCACTGCCACAGACATCACCATCCACTGCTACAGACATCACCATCCATTGCCACAGACATCACCATTCACTGGCACAGACATCACCATCCACTGGCACAGACATCACCATTCACTGGCACAGACATCACCATCCACTGGCATAGACATCACCATCCACTGGCACAGGCATCACCATTCACTGGCACAGACATCATTCACTGGCACAGACATTACCATTCACTGCCACAGACATCACCATCCACTGCCACAGACATCACCATCCACTGCCACAGACATCACCATCCACTGCCACAGACATCACCATCCATTGCCACAGACATCATTCACTGGCACAGACATCACCATCCACTGGCACAGACATCACCATTCACTGGCACAGATATCACTATTCACTGGCACAGACATCACCATCCACTGGCATAGACATCACCATCCACTGGCACAGGCATCACCATTCACTGGCACAGACATCATTCACTGGCACAGACATTACCATTCACTGCCACAGACATCACCATCCACTGCCACAGAACATTCCTATACGGATTTCATATTGTAGGCACTGTATTTCCCAACCAAAATTCCAGTCTGGATAACCGGTGTCCATGAATCATTTTATAGATATTACAATTCTCACATTCGATAGAACGTAGAAGACCAAAAATTAATTTGGTCCACGCTGAAATAACTCGGTCTCTGATGCCTGCTAGATGTTCAGCGTCCCGTCTCTGAAAATTCTACTTCAGGAATGTTGCGAAGTTGTCTAACCACTCATAAGATTTCTAAATTAAAGAAAGTATTAAGAAAATATCAGCAGATGCTTAATTATTCTAATTAATTAACATATGAAGAAAACATACTGTGCCTCTGGATAGTTAGCCTTGATCTTATGTAGTTCCGTTTCGCTGTCGAAGGTCATCAGGGAGACGTGACGAGCTTGAGCGAGACGAAGGTGTGAGGGAAGCTTGTAGGGGTTAGCACAGATGATCCTAGATGACTGCGCTCCAAGCTCCAACACCTGCTCCATCTCTGACTGAGTCATCCCGATTGGTACAAACAATTACAGGAATCACAAACTAGGTGAACAATATTTTGAATATATATGTATACATATATATTATTATATAATATATATATATATATATATATATATATATATATATATATATATATTATATATATATATATATATATATATATATATATATATATATATATGTCGTGCCGAATATGCAAAACTGGTCAATTAGCAAGAACTCATTTAAAATTAAGTCCTTTCTAAAATTTTCTCTTATACGCTTAAAGATATATTTTTTTCATTAATGTTGATGTAAAAATTTATAATTTTGCATCAAAAGGAACTTAGAAAACTAACCTAACCTAATTATAACAAGAACAATTTATTTTAGCCTAACCCAACTAAATATATTTTAGATTTGTTTATAATAATTTAGTACTAAACAAACACAGTGAAATATATATATATATATAAATATATATATATATATATATATATATATATATATATATATATATATATATATATATATGTCGTGCCGAATAGACTAATTGCGATCTTGGCTAAATGGCAATGTCATCTCGCCATATAGGGACAATGAAAATTGTGTATGCAATTATTCGCCAACATCTGAACCTACGAAAATATTTTATTGTGTTTGTTAGTATTAAATTATTGTAAACGTATTTAAAAATTATTTTGGGTATAGGCTAAAATAATTATTCTTGTTTAATTAAGGTTATGTAAGGTTTCAAAGATTCTTTTGGTCCCAAAATAACTAAATTTTTTACATACCATTAATGAAAAAATTTATCTATAAACGTATACAGAAAATTCAAAGGCTTAATTTTAAATTGGTTCTTGTATGACCAGTTTTAATATTCGCACGACATATAATACAATAAATATATATATATATATATATATATTATATATATATATATATATATATATATATATATATATATATATATATATATAAATAATCATACATTGCACCCTCCTATTCAGAAATATAAGTCTAGTCTGTTCAATTCATTAATTTTAATTTTTATAATGGTGATGTACAAGAGATTAATTAATTTTTATTGCTGGGTAACTCAACCATGATTTTTGTCAAGAGTTTCCTGGATAACTAACAAGCTTGAATGTTTACCTACAATACTTGGCTGGTTGGTTGGTTTATTACGTTTAATGACCATCAACTACGCCAGGACCATCAATTGTGCAGGTCACCTTTACACCATCACTACCTCCTTGGCGTTGGTGAGGGTGTCTTGATCTAGGGAATTTGATCTGTGCTCTGGTTCCCTGATTTGAGCCCAAATACCTTCCAATTCCCCATATGCACTGTATAATCCTATGGGCTTAGCATTCCTCCCACAAAAATATAAAAATAAAAACTCGTATGAGAGTAACATGTCGCTGGGAAGCACAAGGGAGCCCCGCGGAGACTAGAAGAGTAGACTCCCCAGACGGGTGACACCTAGAATGAGTGGAGGTCCCCCAAGTGACCACTCACCTGGGAGGCGCAATCGAAGCCAGTCCCCAGAGCCGTCAACAACCCTAACACCACTGGTTCATTGTTGCATTTCACTGCTGCAGGTAACACCACAGGGTTGTACAAGGTATGATGATACAGACATGTGGAAGAAGACACAAACGATTGTTAAACTCCTTGTATAAAGTTGTAAATATTTGTATAAACACTCATCATACTTTTATAAAGACCTACCGTAGAAGATATCAACTCTAGGCAGCAGTTGTCGCCACAGCTTCACCGTCTCCACCACCTCTCTAATATCCAACACATAGAAGGCTTTATCTTGACCCTGTCAGTGGGAGAATATCAAGGGATGGAGGTTATTTCGTATTATGTGTTATATATCATGTATGTACTCTTTTGCTTTGCACACACACACACACACACACACACACACACACACACACACAAACGTACAGCCTCTTTATCATGGGAGGATCTATAATACAAGTGGTAACTTGGCACTCATCGAAGCACACACACACCAGCAAACAATTCAACATAAGTGCCTTTAAAAGTGAAACAAACTGTATGTCGCAGAAGATAATTTCACAAAGAGATCAAACACGTAATTTCATTTAAAAAAAAATTACGTCATTCATCTGAAAGAAGTGGCCTTGGAGTTGTAACTTCATAGTACTGCAAGCTTTTCAAGGAACATATGAGTAGAGATAAAAGGCAGATAGGAGAAGACTTTACGGTCTATATTGCAGCTACCTGCTGAGCATTATCTACAGTGTAGTCCAAGTTATACCACCATAAACCATACTATTTACTTGGTGATCCATGGTCAACTGTTCGTGGTGAGTAGTTTGTAACTAGTCAGGGTTCCAGTGTCCAGAACATTGTTAATGGGATTTGTGGCCTATCGACTGCACGTGGGCCATTAACGCTACATGTCAACTGTGCATGCTTTTGTGTATATACACAGAGGCATGCACCTCTCGGTATAAATCTTGCGTCACACTGAGACATTCACAGACATTTACAACATTATATAATAAGAAAAAAATCCTCTGAAAATATGAATAAACACATTAAAGCACTCGCGTATTTTTGTTATTTTCTTACTGATTTTTTTTTAAAAATTGCAATCACATGTTATTTTTCCTAAATAATAACAAAAGTAGGCCTTAGACAAGGATGTGTGATGTCACCGTGGTTGTTTAATATATTTATAGATGGGGTTGTAAGAGAAGTAAATGCGAGGGTCTTGGCAAGAGGCGTGGAGTTAAAAGATAAAGAATCACACACAAAGTGGGAGTTGTCACAGCTGCTCTTTGCTGATGACACTGTGCTCTTGGGAGATTCTGAAGAGAAGTTGCAGAGATTGGTGGATGAATTTGGTAGGGTGTGCAAAAGAAGAAAATTAAAGGTGAATACAGGAAAGAGTAAGGTTATGAGGATAACAAAAAGATTAGGTGATGAAAGATTGAATATCAGATTGGAGGGAGAGAGATATTTGGGAGTGGACGTGTCAGCGGATGGGTCTATGAAAGATGAGGTGACTCATAGAATTGATGAGGGGAAAAGAGTGAGTGGTGCACTTAGGAGTCTGTGGAGACAAAGAACTTTGTCCTTGGAGGCAAAGAGGGGAATGTATGAGAGTATAGTTTTACCAACGCTCTTATATGGGTGTGAGGCATGGGTGATGAATGTTGCAGCGAGGAGAAGGCTGGAGGCAGTGGAGATGTCATGTCTGAGGGCAATGTGTGGTGTGAATATAATGCAGAGAATTCGTAGTTTGGAAGTTAGGAGGAGGTGCGGGATTACCAAAACTGTTGTCCAGAGGGCTGAGGAAGGGTTGTTGAGGTGGTTCGGACATGTAGAGAGAATGGAGCGAAACAGAATGACTTCAAGAGTGTATCAGTCTGTAGTGGAAGGAAGGCGGGGTAGGGGTCGGCCTAGGAAAGGTTGGAGAGAGGGGGTAAAGGAGGTTTTGTGTGCGAGGGGCTTGGACTTCCAGCAGGCATGCGTGAGCGTGTTTGATAGGAGTGAATGGAGACAAATGGTTTTTAATACTTGACGTGCTGTTGGAGTGTGAGCAAAGTAACATTTATGAAGGGGTTCAGGGAAACCGGCAGGCCGGACTTGAGTCCTGGAGATGGGAAGTACAGTGCCTTCACTCTGAAGGAGGGGTGTTAATGTTGCAGTTTAAAAACTGTAGTGTAAAGCACCCTTCTGGCAAGACAGTGATCGAGTGAATGATGGTGAAAGTTTTTCTTTTTCGGGCCACCCTGCCTTGGTGGGAATGGGCCAGTGTGATAATAAAATAAAATAACAAAGAGGAACAACTTACGGGCTTTTTGACGACTTCATTGATAACGTCCATCTTGGAACTGCCGGGACCAAGGTAAACACTTCTACCTAATATGTTCCTCAGCTCCATACCTGTGGTGGGTTATTGAGGGTATAAGTGGAGGTAGCAAGTGTTTTGGAGCTATAAAGTGTGAGAGAACTAGCAAGTGTTTCAAATTAATGAGGATGCTAGAGCCATCAAGTGTCAGGTTTATTAGGTGGGGTGCAGCTATGTGTATGTGTGTATATATATATATGATGTGTGTGTGTGTGTGTGTGTGTGTGTGTGTGTGTGTGTGTGTGTGTGTGTGTGTGTGTGTGTGTGTTCACCTAGTTGTACTCACCTAATTGTGGTTGCAGGGATCGATTCACAGAACCTGGCCCCGCCTCTTCACTGGTCGCTACTAAGTCATTCTTCCTGCTCCATGAGCTTTATCATATCTCTTCCTAAATCTATGTATGGATCCTGCCTTCACTACATCACTTCTTAGACTGTTTCACTTCCTGACCACTCTGTGACTAAAGAAATACTTCCTAACATCCCTTTGATTGATCTTAGTCTTCAACTTCCAACTGCGACCCCTTGTTGCTGTGTCCCATCTCTGGAACGTCCTGTCTCTGTCCACCTTGTCGATTCCTCTCAATATTTTATATGTCCTTATTATATCTTCCCTATCTCTTCTGTCCTCCAGTGCCGACACGGCGATTTCCCTTAACCTCTTTCCTTTAGACATGCCCCTTAGCTCCAGGATTAGTCTTGTTTCAAACTTTTGCACTTTCTCTAGTTTCCTTACGTGCTTGGCTGGGTGTGGGTTCCAAACTGGTGCTGTATACTCCAATATAGGTGTAATGTGCACAGTGTACAGGGTACTGAACGATTCCTTAATAAGATGTCACAATGCTGTTCTTAGTTCTTAGATTTGTTAGGCGCCCGTATGCTGCAGCCGTTATTTGGTTGATGTGCGCCTCAGATGTGCCTGGTGTTATACTCACCCCAAAATCCTTTTCTTTGAGTGAGGTTTGTAGTCTCTGCCCCTCCTAGACTGTACTCCGTCTGCGATATTCTTTGCCCTTCCCCAATCTTCATGACTTTGCATTTGGTGATGTTGAACTCCAGGAGCCAGTTGCTGGACCAAGCATGCAGCCTGTCCAGACCCATTTGTAGTTCTGCCTGGTCCTCGTCCGATTGAATTATTCTCCTCAGCTTCACATCATCTACAAACAGGAACACTTCTGAGTCTTTTCCTTCCGTCATGTTCACAAATACTAGAAACAGCACCGGTCCTAGGAATGATCCTTGTGGAACTCCGTTTGTCAAAGGTGCTCACGCTGTTGTCTTCCTGACAGGTATTCCCTGATCCATTGCAGTGCCTTCCCTGTTATCTCTGCCTGGTCCTCCAGGTTTTGCACTAATGTCATGTGTGGAACTGCTTCAAACACCTTCTTACAGTTCAAGAAAATGCAATTTACCCACCGCTCTCTCTCTTGTCTTACTGCTGTCATCCTGTCATAGAACTCCAGTAAGTTTGTGACACAGGATTTCCAGTCCCTGAAACCGTGCTGGCTGTCGTTGATAAGCTCATTCTTTCTTGGGTGCTCCACCACTCTTCTCCTGATAACCTTCTCTATGATTTTGTATACATGTCAGTGACATTGATCTGTAGTTTAATGCTTCATGTTTGTCTTTTTTTTAATAAATTAGGACTACTTATGCTTTCTTCCATACTTCAGGTAGTCGCCCTGTTTCGATAGATGTGTTGAAGATTGTTGGTAGTGGTACACATAGCGCCTCTGCTTCCTCTCTCAGGACCCATGGAGAGATGTTATCCGGTCCCATCACCTTTGAGGTATCTAGCTCGCTTAGCAGCCTCTCTACTTCGTCCTCGGTTGTATGTATTGTGTCCAACACTTGACGGTGTACCCCACCTCTCCGTCTTTCTTGGGTACCCTCTGTCTCCTGTGTGTACTCACCTAATTGTACTCACCTAATTGTGGTTGCAGGGGTCGAGACTCAGCTCCTGGCCCCGCCTCTTCACTGATCGCTACTGGATCCTCTCTCTCTCTGCTTCCTGAGCTTTGTCATGTGTGTATGTGTGTGTGTGTGTGTGTGTGTGTGTGTGTGTGTGTGTGTGTGTGTGTGTGTACTCACCTAATTGTACTCACCTAATTGTGGTTGCAGGGGTCGAGACTCAGCTCCTGGCCCCGCCTCTTCACTGATTGCTACTAGGTCCTCTCCCTCTCTGTTTCCTGAGCTTTGTCATACCTCTTCTTAAAACTATGTATGGTTCCTGCCTCCACTACTTCTCTCGCTAGGCTATTCCACTTCCTGACGACTCTGAAGAAATACTTCCTAACGTCCCTGTGACTCGTCTGAGTCTTCATCTTTCAATTGTGACCCCTTGTTTCTGTGTCCCCTCTCTGGAACATCCTGTCTCTGTCCACCTTGTCTATTCCCCGCAGTATCTTGTATGTCGTTATCATGTCTCCTCTGACCCTTCTGTCCTCCAGTGTCGTCAGTCCGATTTCTCTCAACCTTTCCTCGTACGACATTCCCCTGAGCTCTGGAACTAGCCTTGTTGCAAACCTTTGTACTTTCTCTAACTTCTTGACGTGCTTGACCAGGTGTGGGTTCCAGACTGGTGCTGCATACTCCAGTATGGGCCTAACATACACAGTGTACAGTGTCTTGAACGATTCCTTATTAAGGTATCGGAACGCTATTCTCAGGTTTGCCAGGTGCCCGTATGCTGCAGCAGTTATTTGGTTGATGTGTGCCTCCGGTGACGTGCTCGGTGTTATGGTCACCCCAAGATCTTTCTCCCTGAGTGAGGTCTGTAGTCTTTGTCCACCTAGCCTATACTCTGTCTGCGGTCTTCTTTGCCCCTCCCCAATCTTCATGACTGCATTTGGCAGGGTTGAATTCGAGAAGCCAGTTTCTGGACCACGTTTCCAGCCTGTCTAGGTCTCTTTGCAGTCCTGCCTCATCCTCATCCGATTTAATTCTTCTCATCAGCTTCACATCATCTGCGAATAGGAACACTTCAGAGTCTATTCCTTCCATCATGTCGTTCGCATATATCAAAAATAGCACTGGTCCTAGAACTGACCCCTGTGGGACCCCGCTCGTCACAGGCGCCCACTGTGATGCCTCTTCACGTACCATGACTCGTTGTTGCCTCCCTGTCAGGTATTCCCTGATCCATTGCAGTGCCCTCCCTGTTATATGCGCCTGATCCTCCAACTTCTGCACTAATCTCTTGTGAGGAACTGTGTTAAAGGCCTTCCTGCAGTCCAGGAAAATGCAATCAACCCACCCCTCTCTCTCGTGTCTTACTTCTGTTACCTTGTCATAAAACTCCAGAAGGTTTGTGACACAGGATTTGCCTTCCATGAACCCATGCTGGTTTTCATTTATAATCTTGTTTCATTTATAATCTTGTGTGTGTGTGTGTGTGTGTGTGTGTGTGTGTACTCACCTAGTTGTGCTCACCTAATTGTGGTTGCAGGGGTCGAGTCATAGCTCCTGGTCCCGCTTCTTCACTGGCTGCTTCTTGGCAGGGCGAGACGTATGGGCAAGTCTCCTCACATCTGTTGCCTCTGTTTACCTAGCAGTAAATAGGTACCTGGGTGTGAGTCGACTGTTGTGGGTCATATCCTGGGGGATGGTCAATGCTACAATATCTGAGAGACTCAGACTCCCTCAAATGACCAATTGCTCTCACTCAGTGAGTGAGAACTTGTGAAGTAAACTGAGAAATCAGAAACAATGCCGCAAGGCACACAGACAAAACTGCCTCAAGGCCATGAAGAGATGCCGACAGGCAGAAGTGAAGTTAAGTGTGTACTCGCCTAATTGTACTCACCTAATTGTGGTTGCAGGGGTCGAGACTCGGCTCCTGGCCCCGCCTCTTCACCGGCCGCTACTAGGTCCTCTCTCCCCCTGCTCCATGAACTTTATTATACCTCGTCTTAAAACTATGTATAGTTCCTGACTCCACTACATCGCTTGCCAGACTGTTCCACTTCCTAACTACTCTATGACTGAAGAAATACTTCCTAACATCCCTTTGACTCATCTGAGTCTTCAGCTTCCAATTGTGACCCCTTGTTTCTGTGTCCCATCTCTGGAACATCCTGTCTCTGTCCACCTTGTCTATTCCACGCAGTATTTTGTATGTCGTTATCATGTCTCCCCTGACCCTCCTGTCCTCCAGTGTTGTCAGACCAATTTCCCTTAACCTTTCTTCATAGGACATTCTCCTTAGCTCTGGAACTAGCCTTGTTGCAAACCTTTGCACTTTCTCTAATTTCTTGACGTGTTTGACCAGGTGTGGGTTCCAAACTGGTGCTGCGTACTCCAGTATGGGCCTGACGTACACAGTGTATATAGTCTTGAACGATTCCTTACTGAGATACCGGAACGCTATTTTCAGGTTTGCCTAGCGCCCACATGCTGCAGCAGTTATCTGGTTAATGTGTGCTTCTGGCGATGTACTCGGTATTATACTCACTCCTAGGTCTTTCTCCTTGAGTGAGGTTTGCAGCCTTTGGCCACCTAGCCTATACTCTGTCTGCAGTCTTCTTTGCCCTCCTCCGATCTTCATGACTTTGCATTTGGCGGGGTTAAATTCTAGGAGCCAATTTCTGGACCACACATCCAGCCTGTCCAGGTCTCTTTGTAGACCTGTCTGGTCCGCGTCTGATTTAATTCTCCTCATTAACTTCACGTCATCTGCAAAGAGGGACACTTCTGAGTCTATCCCTTCCGTCATGTCGTTCACATATACCAAGAATAGCACTGGCCCCAGGACTGACCCCTGTGGGACCCCGCTCGTCACTGGCGCCCACTGTGATACCTCATCACGGACCATGACACGCTGTTGCCTCCCTGTTAGGTATTTCCTGATTCATTGCAGTGCCCTTCCTGTTATACGTGCCCGTTCCTCTAGCTTCTGTACTAATACACAAATAACCCGCACATAAAAGAAAGAAGCTTACGAAGACGTTTCAGTCCGACTTGGACCATTTACAAAGTCACACTGTCACAGTGTGACTTTGTAAGCTTCTCTCTTTTATGTGCGGGTTATTTGTGTATCGTTCCAGTCACGGTATTGTGCCTTTTTCTGTTATTTCTGTACTAATCTCTTGTGAGGATCTGTGTCGAAGGCCTTCTTGCAGTCCAAGAAAATGTAATCAACCCACCCCTCCCTCTCATTTCTTACTTCAGTTACCTTGTCATATAACTCTAGTAGGTTTGTGACACAGGATTTACCTTCCATGAATCCGTGCTGGCTGTCGTTTATAATATTGTTCCGCTCCAGGTGCCCCACCACTCTCCTCCTGATAATCTTTTCCAAGACTTTGCATACTATACATGTCAGTGACACTGGTCTATAATTTAGTGCTTCATTTCTGTCTCCCTTCTTAAAGATGGGGACTACATTTGCCTTCTTCCATACTTCAGGTAGTTTCCCAGTTTCAAGGGAAGTGTTGAAGATTTTGGTTAGTGGCAAACGTAGTGTCCCTGCTCCCTCTCTAAGGACCCACGGAGAGATGTCCGGTCCCACCACCTTTGAGGTATCAAGGTCACTTAGGAGCTTCTCACCTCCTCCTCAGTTGTGTGTAAATTTATCCAACACTTGTTGGTATATCCCTTGTTGCTGTACGCCACTGTTTTGTCTTCCCATTGTCCCTTCAGCCTCCACTGTAAATACTTCCTGAAATCTCATGTTGAGCTCCTCACATACCTCCTGGTCGTTTCTTGTGAGCTCCTCACCTTCTTTCCTCAGCCTGATTACCTGGTCCTTGACTGTTGTCTTCCTCCTGATGTGGCTGTAGAGTAGTTTTGGGTCAGACCTGACTTTCGATGCTATGTCATTTTCATACTGCTGCTGCGCCTCCCTTCTTATCTGTGCATACTCGTTTCTGGCTCGTCGACTAATCTCTTTATTCTCCTGAGTCATTTGCCTTCTGTACTTTTTCCATTCTCTAGAGCACTTAGTTTTTGCCTCCCTGCACCTTCGGGTACACCAGGGGCTTGTTCTGCCCTTCCCATTATTTATGTTGCCCTTGGGAATAAACCTTTCCTCTGCCTCCTTGCATTTTGTTGTTACAAAGTCCATCATTTCGTTTACTGATTTTTCTACCAACTCCTGTTCCCACTGAAACTCCTGCAGGAAGGCCCTCATTCCTGTGTAGTCCCCCCTTTTATAATTTAGCTTTTCCCTTTCTACTCCTGTTACCCTCTCCACTTTTGCTCCACGATGTATTCAAAGCTCATAACTACGTGGTCACTAGCTGAAAGGGGCCTTTCATATGTGATGTGCTCAATGTCTGAGCTACTCAGGGTGAACACGAGGTCCAGTCTTGCTGGTTCATCCTTCCCTCTCTCTCTGGTAGTATCCCAAACATGTTGGTGCATGAGATTTGCCAGCACCACATCCATCATCTTGGCTCTCCATGTTTCGGGACCCCCATGTGGCTCCAGGTTTTCCCAATCAATCTCCCTGTGATTGAAGTCGCCCATGACTAGTAACTTCGCTCTACTTGAGTGGGCCCTTCTTGCCACCTCAGCTAGAGTGTCCACCATTGCTCTGTTGCATTTATCATATTCCTCTCTTGGCCTCCTGCAGTTCTGTGGTGGGTTATACATAACTGCAATGACTACCTCGTGTTCCCCTGACTGAACTGCACCTACTATGTAATCCCTTTCTCCAATCTCGTCCATACTTTCCATTTCTTGATAATCCCACCGGTTTTTTATTAGTAGTGCAACCCCTCCTCCCCCCTGCTCCTATCCTTCCTCAGGATCTGATATCCAGGTAGGAAGATTGCATCTGTTATTATCCCAGTGAGTTTTGTTTCTGTAACTGCTATGATGTCTGGGGACAACTTAATTCTTTCGTGCCACTCTTCACATTTATTCGTTATTCCATCCGCGTTCGTGTACCAAACCTTCAACTTCTTTTCAATAACTGTGGTCTGGGGAGAGAGGTGGGTTAGGGGGAGCGGGGGCCTATAGGGAGTTGGTGTGGGGGTGGGGCCTGTGGTGTGGGGTGTAAGGGCCTATAGAGGGTTTCAGTGGGGGTGGGGGTGGTGGTGAGGGGGATGGGGGAAGAGGGCCTATGGGGGGTTACAGTGGGGGAGGGGGTTGTGGTGAGGGGGATAGGGATAGAGGGTACAGTGTGTGAGTTGCTGTGGGTTACTGTGAGGGTGGGGTTTGTGGTTAGGGGGATGGGGGGAGAGGGTACATTGTGTGGGCTACTGTGGGTTTCTGTGGGGGTGGGGTTTGAGCTGAGGGGATGTGCGGGTTACTTAGGGTTACTGAGGGTTACTGTGGGGGTGGGGTTTATGCAGAGGGGGATGTGAGGTTACTGTGGGTGTCTGTGGGGGTGAGGTTTGTGCTGAGGGGGATGGTGGCAGAGGGTACAGTGAGTGGGTTTTGGGTTAGGTCGTTTGGTTGCTTTGGGATTGCTATGGTTGTGTTCCTTCTATGGGTGGTACTGGAGAGGGTTGTGTGTGTGTGTGTGTGTGTGTGTGTGTTTTGAATGTCATGTATGGTCCCACTCATTGACTTATTTTTCTTAATATATTCCTGTATACCTCAATACATTATACTATTTTTCAATGTTTTAACGCGTTAACTGCAGTATTGTTATTGTAAGTGTAATTTACAGCACTACATTATAGTGTTTGTTTTAATTAAGCTTAAAGAAATATCTGCTGCACCAAAAGCTGCAGATCACCTCTATATTAACATAAATTCCTTAAATGGGAAATATATTGCCTTTGCATCGGTCGGGAAAAAATGACCTGCTAAGAGTCTGTGAATGACCCAACATTCGTTGGTGCTGTTTGTCCTATAACAGGGAGCAGCGTGAAAGAACTTCTGGTGTACCTACCTATACACACTTACCTTTATGAGGTTACAATTTGATTCTCAGCTCCTGGCCCTGCCTCTTGACTTGCCTTTAAGTGAGTGATATTAATGAGCGAAAAAAAGTTGCAGCACTGCACGACGAACACTGATTTACTGGACTCAGTCAACTGAGTTGTTTATCTCATTTCTCGTGTATTTATAAGACCTGGATGGAATGCCAAGTACTGCTAACAATGCAATGAATTTTAAAAAATATATTGTATGATAAGGAAAGAATATACATGCACTTAGCCAATTGTGGCTTATGGTAGAACTAATTCTTGTCCCTTTCAACGCTGTATAACCCTTGTAGTTTAGCGCTTCCTTTTGATTATAATAATAATAATTATCCCTTTCAAAGTCTCTGTTAACAATCCGGGGATTCGTAAAGAATGATTATGGACTGTTACATTCTTTCAATGTATTTGTTTGCCTGGAATAGTAAGAGATTAGAGGTATCATGTAAGCTTCTGGAGCTTTGGGAAAAAACAGTTGGTGACTCAGCTGGAGCCGTTGATACAATATTTTCACAGATGTGCTGATTATAAATCATCAACCTGTAAGTTCTGTGGCTGAGTGGTTACAGCGTTGGTCTTTCTTCTAGCATGAACCTCGGCTCGAGTCCTAATTCATTCTTCTGTTTGTTTTCTTCACACACACACAGACATATATGTATATGTCGTGTCGAATAGGTAAAACTTGAGATTTTGGCTTAAATAGCAACGCTATTTTTGCCGAATAAAGCAAGCGAAAATTTGTGCATATAATAATTTCGCAAAAATCATTCTGAACCTAACGAAAAAAAATATATTTCATTGTGCTTGTTTATTATTATTGTTGTAAACTTACCTAAAATATATTTAGCTGGAATAGGTTAAATTAAATTGTGCTTGTTATAAGGTTAGATAAGTTTTCTAATTTTTTATGGTACAAAATTATTAATTCTTGCATTAACATAAATGGAAAAAATATATCATTAAACGTACCTATAAGAGAAAATTTTAGATTATTATTATTATTATTATAATAATCAAGGGGGAAGCGCTAAACCCGGAGGATTATACAGCGCCTGGGGGGGGATGTGGAAGGCATTCAGGCTTAATTCGGGGAACTGGAGCACAGATCCAATTCCCAAAATCAAGAGCCCCTCACCAACATCAAGGAACCTTCCTTGAGGGGAGAAAATTTTAGAAAGGATTTAATTTTAAGCGAGTTCTTGCTAATTGACCAGTGTTACCTATTCGGCACGACAAAACAACCACTCTGAAAGAATAGAGAAATTCCAAGCGCTTTCGTGACTACTCACATGTGAGTAGTCACGAAAGCGCTTGGAATTTCTCTATTCTTTCAGAGTGGTTGTTTTGCATATTCTGAAATCACCTGTTTACTGTGATCTTACTGCATATGTATATATATGTATATATATATGTATATATATATGTATATATATATATATATATATATATATATATATATATATATATATATATATATATATATATATATATATATATATATTATATGTACACATATATATACATACACGCCAGTTTATGGTGCTCCATCATTTTATGTGTAAACGAAGAACCAACATAGTTGGGAAGGGCCAGTTTCGGCAGACGTCATCGTGAGTATCCACCAGAGATTACAGACACGTGGCAGTCCTCTGCATCAGTGAAAGTGCAGTGTGCATGTGGGGAGTTGGGGAGCAGTGATGGCCTTGAGGGGATCCTGCCAGCGTAGATGTGGATGTTTGTTTACCCTCTGTGTTCGGCTTGGGTTGGGTGGGAGTGGTCGCTGAGGACCCAATCATTGGATGCTGAACAGGAGAACACTTCGCTTAACAGTGAGACCATGGTTATTAGTGTGCCAAATGGCGAGGGTTTCCCTAAATCGAATAATAAGTGTGTAGAAGGATATTGTTAGTCGTCTGGATGACATCATGAGAGGTAATGGGTGCAATCCTATTATCTGTCTCAGTGCTGGAGGCAACGATGTTGGCAGACGTAGGAGTGAGGACCTGATTAGCAGGTATAGGTCAGCAATAGAGATAATTAGGAGGAAGGGTGGGAAACCTGTCATATGTGGCATTTTGCCAAGGAGAGGAGTTGGAAATGAATGGTTGTCCAGAGCAATTGGTGTCAATTGCTGGCTGGACAAATACTGTAAGGAAAATGCAGTAACATTCATTGACAACTGGGACCTCTTTTATGGCAGAAATGACATGTATGCCAGGGATGGGGTTCACTTATCTAGGTGTGGGGTGGGAGCACTGGCCAACGCAGTGGAGGGAGCTGTTAGATCTTTAAACTAGGAATAGTTAGTGGTATGGGTTTTTGCGGGAAAACTGTGAAGTCGCAGTGTAGTAATATGAGTACTAGGAGAACTAGTAATAGGCAAAATGAGGTGGATATTGGAAAGCCAGTGGCACTAATTGACAAGGACAGTAATAGGTTTTGTGGAATAACAGAAAGGAGCAGGAAGGGTAAAGAGAGAGGAGGGTCTTTAAATATTTATTACACAAATAGTCGCAGTGCTAGGAATAAGATGGACGAGTTGAGACTAGTTGCTAGTGCAGGTAACATAGATATATTTGCCGTTACTGAGACGTGGTTTAACTCAAAAAGTCGGGACATGCCTGCAGAATGTCACATTCAGGGTTTTAAAATTCTTCCAAGTAGATAGAAGTATCGGGAAGGGGGGTGGCGTGGCATTGTATGTCCGAGATCGCTTGAACTGTTGCATAAAATCGGGTATTAAGTCTGAAGTAACACATACAGAGTCTGGATAGAATTTTCAGAGGGGCATGAAAAATTATTTTAGGTGTGATATACCGTCCCCCAAATTTAGATAGGGACCAGGGGAGACTACTATGGGAGGAAATTGTTAGGGCCACAAGGCACGATAATGTAGTAATTCTAGGAGACTTTAACTTTAGACATATTGATTGGAATTTCTTGACTGGGAATTTAGAATCATACGATTTCTTAGAAGAAGTTCAGGATTGTTTTTTGAAGCAGTTTGTGACAGAACCTACAAGGGGTAATAACCTGCTTGACTTAGTTCTGGCAAACAATGAATCCCTTGTTAATAATTTAGAAGTTTCAGAGGAACTGGGTGCTAGCGACCACAAATCAATTACATTTAGAATTGAATGGAAGTATGATAGTAGGGATAACTCAGTAACAGTCCCAGATTTTCGCTTAGCAGATTACGATGGGCTTAGAGAACACTTATCATCTGTTGACTGGGGTAACGAAGAGAGCTATCAATATGACAGTTTTCTGAGCACAATACATGCTGCTCAAAGAACGTTTATCCCTTATAAGGAAATTAGATAAAATAGAAATGAACCAAAATGGATGAATAATAGGCTCAAATATCTACTAGGGCATAAGAAAGGAATTTATAGGCGTATCAAAAGAGGCGAGGGCCATCTTATGAATCAGTATATTGACATTAAGAGGGACATTAAAAAGGGGATAAGAAAAGCTAAAAGGGACTATGAAATTAAAGTTGCTAGGGATTCTAAAACTAACCCAAAAAGTTTTTTCCAGGTCTATTGAACAAAAGTCGGAGATAAGATAGGTCCCCTTAAAAATAACTATGGGCATCTTACTGACAAAGAGAATGAAATGTGCTCGATTTTAAATAATTATTTTCTCTCGGGTTTTACACAGGAAGACACTAATAATATTCCGGTAATTAATTTTTATAGGGGATCAGAAGAAGGGTAAATTATGTAACATCACAGTCACTAGTGAAATGGTGTGAAGCAGATAGACCGACTGAAAACAAAATAAGTCACCGGGTCCTGAGAGGTTTTTTTTAAGGGTTCTAAAGGAATGCAAAAGGAAGTCGTGAAAAAACA